GGTGGGATTTGATGAAGATCTTGTCATATAGTATTAAGTATTTTTACCAATTATCTATTGTGTAAAATGGTTGTGGATGGTAAGTAGGATTTTAGCAGAAATGACAAGGACATTGCCCATCAATTTCCTGTGTATAATAGTGTATGCTGATCCTTTATAGCCATTTTAAATTTATAACCTTGATGAGAAAATTAAGATAAATTTGCTGGCTTGGGTTAAACCCAAAACTGAAACCAACTTTTAGGGGATTTATTATGTTTTTCCATTTGAGGTGTAGTATTTTTCAGTGTTTTATTTATTTATTTTTTTGATGTTGCATTTAGCACAAAATATACAAACAGAAATAGCTAGATATTTAGAGACTACCACTATCATTTTAGAGAAAGAAAGAAAGGACAGTGTATATGTAGAGAAAGGACAAATTGCATAAACATAAAAACTATGAATATTGCAGAATAATGCCTTAAAATCATGATATGGAAAGAAAGAAATCATCAGACACAATATAATGATTACACTATAGTCAATTTTTTGCATATTATAACTACAGTATGAGGGCTTTAACACGTTAGGTGCCATGTGAGTTGTATTTAACTTATGTTACTTTTGAGCCCAAGGCCTCATGAAGCATATATAATTCACACATCTCTTGATTTATCTTAACCTACTAAAACACTGTGGTTCCAAGGAAAGAAACTTTTTTTCTAGTGGGGTGATTGATGTGTTGAAATGAAAATTAAGTAACATGTGAGGAATTTTCAGATAAGAACATAAGCATTTATTATATTTTAGAATATAATATTTGGAATTTTTAATTTAAATTTTAGAATATACTAGTTGGGAGATCTAAATAAATTGAATTATTTTAGCTTAAAGGAAATGTATAAACTGCATCTCAACAGTCATGTGGAAGCAACAGTAAATTTATTTTTTAACCCACAGACAAATTACTAGTGGAGATTGCAGTGAGTCAGAATTTGAATATAAGCAGTTGTTCAAAAATTAGCTTTGCTTGGTATTCTTTTTCTGGGACATAGTGTTCTCATTAGGGAAGATTGAGGAATGACCATCTGCAGAGTGTTGTGGAGAGAGCTCTGTCTCAGTGACCTCAAAGACCTTTTCTAATCGCAGATCTGTCACCTTCTCCTATGGGTTATAGTATGTTGTTGATGATGTTCTTCAGTTTTTCATTTTTCCTGGGAATACTTCTTTAAAAAATGTATTTAGACTGTACCATTTAGTTTTTAAGATGCAGTATTACCTAAGTAAGTTTTTTAAATTCTCAGAAAACTTTAGAGATTTTCTCATCCCAAGACTATATCCTGGACTGATGACCTGGCACATCTCCTTCCATAATTTATCAAAATAGCGTTTGAAATCACCCAATTTATTAAACCATGAGTGTACCATGGCCTTTGTTGTCCTAGATTTGGTTCCTATGGTAAGTTGTGCAAGGTGTATTGACATTAACACACTATTATGTCATGTAAGATGTATTGAATTGTTGTAAGTTACAAAAACATAGAAAGAAACTGGACTTAGTCTTTCTCAAAAGTTGCTAAGGAAAAATTCTTGGGTCTGGTGTTACTTCTATGTTGTGAGGTATATAACCTCCCTAAAACTCAATGGCTGAAAATGGTTAATAATTTCTCATGGTTCCATGGGTTAACTGGCTAGTTTTTCAGCCCTCACCCAGCTAGTCCCCGTGGTACCTTCGGGGGGAGGTCTGCAGGTGCTGGGCTCAGCTGGGATGATGGGCAGCTGGGTAGTTGGCTGGGGATGATCACTATACTTTATTTTAACCTATGCTCTTATTTTGTAAATTAAAAATAGAGAAAAACCCTGGTAGCATATGGTGATCTCCAAGAAATTAGATAATGAAGTGATGTAGAATGTATATTAGAGAAGTTGTTCAAAGAATATTAACAAAAGTACCAATGTTTTGAGGCATCTGGTACAAATATGATCTGCTCCTTCATCTAAGCTCTCAGGCCTGGGCATAGCCCTGAATGGACTGTGAGGTAACAGCAGGAGGTCTGTAGTGTTTTCTAGACTGATCATGGTCACTGCATCCACCCTCCAGGGTTTGAATACTATTACGGTAATGTTAACTGAAATCCCAGGAGCTTGGATGAAGCAGATGTATTTTTAAAAATTTTTAGTTTTATTAAATTACTAAAGCAATATTTGCTTTTTGACAATTTGAAATATACCAACATAAAGGAAGAGAAATAATCTTTTTTCTCTTCTCCTCCCTCAAATTCTCCCCTAGAAAGAGTTTTTATATCTTTATAAATACAAAGATATAAAGGGATATGTTCCTTTTTTATATCCTTATATATACAAAGATATAAAGGGATATATCTTTGTATATCCCTTTATTTGTACACCCTCACATATGGGTTGATTAGCTGCATAAAGAATCTCCCCAAACTGTACCTATTCTTAGGCATCTTGTTTTTATTATTTTAAAGTACATTGTGCAAATATCCCCATGGCAATAAACTTATATTTAACTTAGGATTTTTTGATAATTGTATGCTATAGCACAGAGTGAATGTGCCATTCAGCCTATTGAAGGATGTTTAGATGATGCACAATAGTGGACCCCAACCTTTTTGGCATCAGGGCCATTTTCATGGAAGACAGTTCTTCCACAGACTGAGGTTGGTGGTGGTTTGAGGATGATTTAAGGGCATTACGTCTTTACCTCCGATCATGAGGCATTAGATTCTCTTGTCAGGAGCATGAAAACCTAGATGACTTGTAGAAGCAGTTTACAGTGTGGTTCCTGCTCCTGTGAGAGTCTGATCTGATGGGGGCGGAGCTCAATTGGTGATGTGAGCCATGGGGAGAGGCAGGAAATACAGATGGAGCTTTCCTGGCTCATGCTGCTCACTTGCTATTGTGGGCCTGGTTCCTAACAGGCCATGGACTGGTGCTAGTCTATGGCTTGTGGGTTGGGGACCATAGATGTACTGAGTTTTCCAATCATAATCTATTTGCTGAAATAAACAAATTCTTGCATTTTCTGTGAAAATAAACTACTCTGGACACAAGCACAAGCACAGGTGTTTTCTTTTCTTTATGGTGACCTACCAGAGACACCAAGATTTCTGGGTCACAGGGTTAGTGCATTTTTTGTTGTAACAGATATTGCCAGATTACTTTTTTAAAAAGTGACAGAATGGTATGTTTTGATAGTTAAAGATTATTTTCTATACCCTTGGCATACAAATATTCTTTTACATTTATTTTTTTTTTGATTTTTATAAAAACATATGTAGTTAAAAAAATAAATTGGTACTATGAGATAGTCGTGACCTTCTTTCTCCCCAACTCTGCTTCTTGCCTGGAAGCACTGTCAGCTCTTTTAAAAGTTTTTTTGGGGTTCTAAGTCTATGCACTTGAACGTAGAAGGCTCTTGTTTTAAATCTGAGGCATCATCTCATGACTTCCTTCCTACTGTGTGCTTCAGACTCCATCCCTGTCTCATCCTAGCAGTACAGGAATGCAGTTTTTTTCAAATGTTGATTAAATATTTATGTCACGCTGATATTATTATGTCTATATTAACATATTTCACAGTTGAGCCAGTGTACAACTATTAATTGTTTTCTAGAATTGATAATTTTCTTGCTTTTCTGTTTGTTTTTTAAAGCTTCACTAAACCATGTCCAAAGAATTAAACCTTTTCAGTGTGATCAAAGACATCAATACTCTTAACTAACATTTAATAATTACCTTTTATTTATTTGAAAAATTTTAGAGCCCTCTTTTCTGTGGCCTTCTGTCCTTTTGTCCTACTCTGGACTCCTTGGTTATAGACTTTTTCTCAGCTGTGTTATGAGATCGTCTTCTTGGGAATTTCCTTTCTTCAACTTTTCTTGTGGGATATCACCTGTTTCTCGAATTGCAAGTCTTCTCGTTTTGTGGTTTATTTGCTCATTTTGATGGAACACCTCCACGAGGAACTTTCAGAGAGCTGCTTTGGTGAGATAATACTTTTGAGTTCTTGTAAGTACACAAACTTGCACTTTCTTAGTAGTGTATAAATCTCTAAATTAGAAGTAATCTTAGGTTGGAATTTTGAAGGAATTGCTCCTGGCTTTTTAAGGCCAACTGTGTTACTATTGACAAGTCTAATATCAATTTGATTTGCTGTTTTTGGCTTTGAAAACTTGTACAATCTTTTCTTTATTGCCACTAACTTAACATTTTTGATAATGTGCCTTGAATTGTAGTGCACATTTAACCCCTTAAATCTGGAAAACAATTAAGTTCTTATCTCTTTATGACTTTGACTTTGTTTCCTTGGATTGATGTTTTAACATTTAAATAGTTAACTATTCCGAAATGCTGATTTTCTTGGCATGTTTCTCTTCTGATAGGCTTAAGTTTCAGTTTTCTTGATCTTGCTAAAGCCAGTTCACCACTCATCAGTGTATTTTGCATCTTCCCCCGAATATGTTGCCATTTCTTGACTAGTAATGTCTTCTTTTCTTGCTCAACTAATTCTTGAAGGAAAAAAAAAATCCCTTGACTGTAATGTAATTTTAGTGGAAATTTGGGGGAAAGGGAAGGTAAATACAGGTATTTAATCCTCTGTGTCTTTTTAGAAGACATGGCAAGAATGTCTTGGAAATATTGACTAGTTGCTGATGAAATTAGTATTTACTTTTTAAGCCACTGACATAACATAAAATTGACTTTGTATGTTTCTCCCTACGTTACACATACGACTAGTTTTAATCAGTACTTGAATTTTCTTTTCCATCAATGCTGCCACACTTCCATTTACTTGTTCAGTTAAAACATTTTCTTCAAACCCAGATTTACATCTTCCCATCTGTTTGCTCACAAGAAAATCATCTCCAAGATGAACCTTTTAATTTTTTTTCTGTACATTGGTCTTGGTACCGTCTTTCACATAACGATGAATAATGAGTTTATATCATTATGTAGCATGCTTATGAAATAACCGTCTTTTTTAAACATAGTGCCAAGGTCAGTAGAGCACCCTAAATGGAACTGGAGGACTAAACCAGAAAGCCGTGATTTTGATGAACTGAATCACATCCTTCAAGAGAGCAAGAAGCTGGGGAAAGCCCTTGAGAATCTCTCTCGAAGTAAGTTCATTTACTTGATTATAATTGAAATTCCTAACCAATATTAAAGCAGAAACATTTATTACCAGTGCCAATAACCCATTTCCAACACCCTCATTATAATTCTGTGAGAGATTGAGGAATTTTAAAGGCATAACATTGGAAATGAGGATTGATTTTGCATATTACACGCATTCGTAGGTAGATTGATTATGTAGAATTGAAGGAGTTATGGAACCCTGAATACCAAGCTCTCTGCATGGTTTCTCCTACTCAGTTCACATGTGTGCCTAATGGTATCTTCTTCATTCTTCTCTTTTGAAAACATTTTTGAGCGACTTTATAATTAATGAACATGCCTATTGCCTCCACGAGTTTTTGATGTTTCTAAACTTCTTAAGGATAGTAACTAGATTCTTCTTCGAATCCTTTTAGAGCCTTGCACAATGTCTTGTAACTTCCTTTTTTTTTTTCCTTTCAGTTTTCATCTTGTTGCTTTTTTCCATTTGCTCCAAGGGCATAATCAATAGTATTAGGGATCACAAACATTATTTTGATTGGCCTCACAAACCTGTCCAGTAAAACCTGAAAAACGGAAATGTTACCCAAGTTGCACAGAAAACACTCCTGGAGTTCACTGACATGATAGCAAGTGGAAAGAATATAAATGCAACAGGTGTTAACATTGAGAACAGTACTTGTAACCTGCTCATTTCTAGATAATTCTGGGACCCTTGCTGCCAGCCCTTCATATACCACTGGTGGTTTCCTTTGATGTGAAATATGTCTTTATAAAACTCTTTCTAGACCTGACTCTTGCTGTACTTGGGTGGTTCTATTCCTGCAGCGCTGGCACATGCTGTCAGGGCTTCTACCAGCTGTTTAGCTTCTAGGGTCATTCGGGCTTCCTTCAGCCGGTCCCGTGCCACTCGTCTGGATCCACCCCGCCCCACTCAGCTGAGTGACAAAGTTTGCTGCCAGCTCCAGATCACCCTGCTCAACACAATAGGATACATATGACAATAATTTAAATGTGTTTATATCCTCAGGGGAGAGCTCTGGTGGTGGCTTCAGTTGCTGAGGTGGGAACAGAAGCAGGGACTGCAAGTATGAACAGAAGTATTGGGACAGGTTATTTCTGGTTTCATCAATCATTACAACCCTTTGGGCCAGTTTTGGACCACATAGAAATGGGCTCTAAGGGTTTCTTCACTGTATGCCCCCACGGGTCAGGGATCTGGAGGGATAGTTGCAGTTAAAGCTTGTGAGCTGAGGCCTAGGTTAGAGGTTTTTTTTTTCTCTTTGCAGGTTTTGGCCGGGGCTGGGTTTGAACCTGCCACCTCTGGCATATGGGGCTGGCGCCCTACTCCTTTGAGCCACAGGCGCTGCCCCCTAGGTTAGAGTTTTGCCCTGGCATCTATGAGGTTAAATCATTAATTCCATGAGTCTTGGTTCTCAAGAAGACATGAGTGTGCCTCTATCTTCTGGTAGGTGTTAAGGTTGAAAGTGATACATTTCAAGGAAAATTTTTAAATGGATGTTATTGTCAGGAGAATAGGCAATCGAACAAGTGCCTTGATTAGGTAAGTGCATTCTCTTATGCTTTTAGTAGTGTGTTCTAAGTATTCCTACCTTTCTTTGATTCCTTAAGTGTTACCCAGTTTAAAAAATTAACCACCATTAGAAAGACATTAATGCCATGGCCCCCCCCCCAAAAAACCAAATGGTTTTTAGTCAGTGCCATGAAATATTAAAGATTTTAAGTAGAAAGTAGTTACAACACTGGCAGATTCTACTGAATTATATTTAGAGTCTTTATGTTTTTTTGAGATAGCATAGTCTTCTTACTAATGATTTGTATTAAAATTCCACATTGTCCTTTGGTTTATTTTGGGAGAGGTTTTATATGCATACATATATTATATTATGTATTACATATGGTATATATATATAAACATGTGTGTATGAATTACATATGTAGCTTTAGATTTTTTACATTTCCTCATTTACAACTCACTAAAGTCTTTTTTAGACTTCCGTGCAATGAACCTTTTTCAAATAGAATCTTATAACTTTGCTTTAGTAGAAATCTTCTGGGAAGGATTCAAGAAAGTTGGCTAGATTTACTTCTGGAGTGAATAACAGTAAAGTGAGTTTCAAGTTATTACTATGTTATGTTCATGAAAAGAGCCTGATCCTATTAATATGGCAAAGGAATATATTAATATTTATAAATCTCATACCTTTTCAGGCAAAACTTGTGCTCTTTACAGCCTCTCAGCTTGTTTAATAATGTTAGCTAACAGAAGGGTGATAGAAGAATGTGAGTGATTATTGCAGGTATCTTTAGATGTGTGGTCAGTCAACTTTTGACCTTAAAATGTTGCAATTGCCTTGCAAACACTGGTACTGTTAATTCATAAGATACTATTTGATCTGTCCTCAAAACTTTTTAATAAAGGGATTTGACTGCACTTCAATAATGTGCTTGCCCAGATTCGTAGCAGGAGAGTCAAAGTTCAGGCTATGGTCTGTCCTAGAAAACCTGGCTGTGGCCTTACAGCTTTTCTCAGCCATTCAGGCCGTGATGACATAATGGTATAGGCTGGGTGGCTTACAAACAGTAAAAAATTCATTTCTTACAGTTCTGGATGTGGAAAGTCCAAGATCAAGGTGCTGGCAGATTTGGTGTCTGAAAAGGACCTGTTTTCTTGGTTCCCAGAGGGTAACGTCTAGTTGTGTCCTCACCTGGGGGAGGCCAAGATAGCTCACTGGGATTTCTTTTAGAAGGGTATTAGTCCCATTCAGGGGGGCTCTGCCTTCATGACTTAATCACCTCCCATGCCCCACCTCCTAACACCATCACACTGGGGGTGCAATTTTAACTTATGAATTCTGGGGAACATAAATATTCGCATATTCGCAATGAAGTACCCTCACAGCTGAGTCCTGTGATCAAAACCTAGTGGGAGGCTTGTTTAATATTTGGAGGGCAGTAGTCAAGAGAAACAATGAAGGCTGGGGAGCAGTCCTTGGTCCGCAGTGTAGAAAAGGTGGGGATATGAGACCTTGCCCTTGGGATAAAGTCAGAGCCAAGACCATCAGGAGCGTCAGCAGCTGAGCCAGAATGAAGTGGAAGTGTCGGCTCCTTTTACAGGCTGGAGGGTTGATTTTGACTTCACTTGCTGGTTTTGAGAGATTCTATCTTTTGAGAGTACTCTAGTGGGTTTATGTCGGGATGAAAAGATGGTTTGCAACATAGAGAAGAAATTTTCTTTTGTCTCTTTATTTGTGTATCTTTCTGAAGAAAGTGATAACTTTCTTGGACTGACTTGAGGTTTTATGATTTTCAGTATCTGAGTTTTGAATATTGTATCCATATCTCAGGCCCAACTGTTGACCCCCAAATTATCAGCCTCCCTGCCACGGTCAGTTCAGATTTGTACAAATGCAGCTACACCATTTACTGATGTTTGTTTAGCAATCTAGCTGCCTGGAGTTTAGCTCTGTAATTGTAAACCTACTTCTTCCATTATCCTGAGCCAGGGTGTAATTCATTCTTGTTAGAACTCATCTGACTCTTATAATAGAGTCAGGTTAAAAACTCTTTCTCTAATTTGATGGAACCTTATTGCCCATTGGTTTAGTTAGGAGGAACTAGGGGATGGAATTTTCCTCCAGGAATGGTCAAAAGGTGTACTACAGTCTTGATACTTGACTCTCTCTTCAGTGGCATAGCCTTTGATGGAAAAGGCTCAAAGTTTTTAGTGATCTACTAATTTTAATACAGTCTCTGGTGAGAATTCATTCTTTGTTTATCTTGGTTGTACATTTTTTAAAATCCTATATATTTTAGAATTATTATTTCTTTACATTTTTCAAAGTGATGAAATTAGCTCAGCACCTGTCAGCGAATTTTAGATCTTAAATACACATACAGACACACACGATTTTAGGACATAGTCTCTCTAGGTTGCAAATGTGATTGTTGTTTTAGTAACGACCGTACCGGGCTCTTTTTCTGGCTTTTTGTAAATCTTTCCATGTAATGTTCTGTCTTAAAAACAGTCACAAGCTGTAGCAACCTTCATGATATGACTGTATTATAAGGGTAGGCCTGCCGAGATGACGTACAGTGGCGTAATGCCACAGAGTCACGATGCGATAGGCCTGGCGGGTTTCTGGTGCCTGGATCTCTCACTTTGTAGCCTTTCTGAGCTTTCTTCACATGTTACTTCTCTCCTCCCAGGAAACCTGGACTCTTAACCATTCCTT